CTTTTAGGTCTTTTGGAATATATTATTATTAACTATAATCACTGTGTTGTGCAACATCAGCACTTATTCCTTTTATCAAAATGTAACTCTTTTTTACATGTTCATTGTATTTTTAAATGTTACATTAGGTTCATACAGATAATCCAGAATAACTGGCAAGGTTTAATGTCAACTGATAAGTAACCATAATTACTTCTGTGAAACCTTCTGCCGTGTAATTGAATATATTCATGATTGTGAATGGAGGTGAGTGTTTGCAGATGCCTGGCAGTCCAAAACTCTGCATGCCACCATGGGAAGGACATTGTGTATTTGTATACCCTCTGCTCCAAAAGCTAAGCAGAGGAAGATAAAATATGTAGAGAAACATTCAAGAATATCTGAACTCAGAAAGTATGATAAGCATCACCAAAATTGAGAAGATGGTAATATATATGGATACAAACACCTCTGAAAGCATTAAGCATTCTGGGTACAGTTCAATCCCTAGGAAGAAAGGCATCTAACATTCAGCTGAAGTAGAGTAGAGGGAACTTAAACAGTTCCGCTTGAGGGGGGAACTGGCACGCAACTCACTTCCTAAAACTTGTCTATAGTCATGGCTCTATTCCTACCTTGAAAAGGAAGCTGTGAAAAGTATGCTAAGATTGCTCTCTGGGTTGTGGTTTATAGCAACCTTTGTTCTGGAATGCTGTAAAAACACATTTTTTTGGCATCCTGATTAATTCAACTATTTCATGAAATCTGAAATGTCATTATGATATTTAGAGCTGGAAGAGGGTTTGGGAGTCAGGAGCAGGTAACATTAAAATTTCCATTTAGGAAGGGTGATCTCAAAGTAAGAATATAGTTTCTAAAGGCACACAGAAAATCTGCCACTCTAAATGCAAAGGAAATGCAACATTTCAAATCAAATGAAAAACAAAACAAAACAAAAAAGTGATGCTTACAAAGACAGCCAAGATAATCAAGAGGAACAGTTTTATTGAAAAATATGTCAAAAATGAAAAAAAATAAGTATAGTAAAAATTTATTAAAGGAACAATGACATAATTTCCTTAAAATTAAAGGAATTATAAAACTGATGAAATTAAATATGAACTTAGGAATCCATCTAAAAATCTTGGACATACTAAACATGGTAGTAAAAAGCCAATTGAGGTTATAAAAACTTATTTAAGCAAATGAAAAAAAAATATTTCTTAAGATAGTTCTAAGAAATTCATATAAACAATCAATGGTAAGGCTTAGGCTTAAATGAAATATAGGAATATCTGACATAAAGTATAACTTGATAGACTATAATGTGTTTTAAAGAATTTCTAGAATAAAATATCAGCAAGAAAGCATTAAAAGTAATATATGGAAAGTTAATTGTGGAGAAACTGCCAGTGTTTGAGATCTTATGCTTTCAAATCAATGGCTCACTCCAGTAATATAGAATAATAAAAGCAAATAAGCCAACCCCAAGAAATTTTATACTGAAGATGCAAAAAGACAAAAATGGAAAAAAGGGGAAAAAAACAAACAGTAGTCAAATCTATCAGAGAAGCACATTACCTACAAATAAAAGAGAATTTGATTCATAGCAGGTATTATATGAATACAAAGACGACAATCAAAAAAGATTTTCAAAACAATAATTAAAAAAGCAAATTTTAAATTCTATTCATAACTTTCATAAAAGTGTTAATGCAAAATAATTATTTTAATGATAAGAAAAGATGAGTATTTGAGCCACAGACTGACATAGTAGGACATTAAAATTTTTTAGAGCATTAAAATGAACCCCCCCTCCAAAAAAAAAAAACGTAAATCAAATAGTCAATTAAAGTCAATGTTGCAGCTTTAAACTATAAGGAACTCCTTTGATTTGCTGAAACATGGATGAATCTGGAAGACAACACAAGTTTTAAACTCCCAAATAAAAACATTTATAAGAGAAAAATACAAAATCTGTATTTTAAACATAAGATGAAAATAAATTGCCAGATGTGGAGGGAGGTCCACCTGTGTAATTGAGCAATTCAAGAGGCTGAGGCAAGAGGATCACAAGTTGGAGGCCAGCCCCAGTAACTTAGCAAAAACCTGCTTCAAAGAATTTTAAAAAATGTATATATTATATATGTAGCTTAGAAGTAAAGCATCCTTGGCTTCAGTCCCCATTAAAAATATAAAATAAAAATAATATAAATTACTTTATGCCAAACAAACAATTTCAAATGCCAGACAAAAGTTAATATTCTTAGGCACATGAAAATTACAACAATTAATTCAAGAAGATACAGAAAATGTGAAAAAATAAAGAATAAGCACTTATAATAAAAAATCAATACATTCATCATTTAATTAGGAAAAATACAAGTCCCAAAATTCATATGACAACATTGACAATGAAAAAGATACTTCATAAAAACTCTATGCATAATATTGGCATAAAGTAAGCATTTATAAAATAGGATTATTTATTGCTGCATGGGACTAGATCTAAAGATTATGTAGTCACAAATTCTCATTTTAACTCCTGGGTTCTTAATTTCTAGGCACAAAGGCAATAGGTTGAGATCTTTGAAGTCTCTGCTTATTAGGTTTTACATTCCATCATTCCATTCAACCTATTAACATCCACTGTCTTCACAATATTATTACCTTTTTTTTAGGAACTAAATAAGAGTGACATATTTTTCTATCTTTTACACCTGTCCCCAGTCATATGAATTCTTCCTCACGAAATTCATGGCTACTGCAAATTTTGTATAGAATTCAAGAAGTCATCAATTCTGTGACCATAACAAGCTGACACTATTTGTTCCTAGTATGAATGCATTGCAGTTGATACATGCATAACCAGAACTTTTAGGTTAGAGGAAAGCAAAGGGCTTATCATGAATCCAGAGGTAAAGTATTTCTCTCCAAAGACTTCTAAACATTAAAATGCAATTGTTTGGCAAAGAGGGCCTCTACCACATGATACTGGAGATAGCTAGAATGTGATACTGTCCAGAAATATGAAATAATACTAGTCATAGATAGAGCATACTGTCTTCATATGTGTAGAATAAATTATATTTAAGATAATTTATTTGATTTCCTTTAGTATATGGTTAATGTGCCTAATTTCTGATTTCAAGTCTCAAAAATAGAAAAGTGACATCCACAAGATGGCAGGATAAGAGGTCCTAGGCTTTACTACCCTCCACTGAGTCAACTACCCACAGACAGAATCACCTTGTTTAAAACTTCAAAACTTGGGAATCATCCTAAGGCTCCTGCATGTACCCTGGAACTGAATTAAAATCTTCACTGAAAAGGTAAATCAAAACAAAAAACAAAAACCAGTCTTGCTTTGGCTGCATTATTCCCTTCCCCCAAGTTGGCCATGCAACAAACAGAATTTCCCAGGCCTATTTTAATTTTTATTGGGCAAAAGATAAATTGTGATTCCTAAGTTGTAAAAGCAATTAAAAATACTTAGGGTTTTTAGTGATAAAGATGTAAATTCTCATCTTTTGTAAAAAGAAGTATTTTTTCCTGTGAGTTACATAAATAGAAAATATTGTCTCTTAATTATAATAATGATAATGCAATTCCTATGGCCCCCTTCATCCAAAAATATACAAACACTCCATGAGCTCTAACTAATTGAGTCTAGCTGCATCTCTCTGAAGTAACATAGCATCAGAATATTATTTCAAATGTGGTGAAGTATATTAAGAAACTTGTTCATAGGGATTTGTGAATCAGCAGTTACTGGTGGTATATCTTATGAATCTGTACCACAATTTTTTTTTTATTGGAGTTCTGGTCTATATTATTTTTTCTAACAGAAATCATGTTTCTAAAATAATCTATCATTTTTTAAAAAGTTTTTCCTAGATCAATTTCATTAAACTGCTATAAGGCTATGATTTAAAGAGGAAATCTCAATTTAAGAACATGTTAAAATAATTTAAAACATAAAGTATGTTTAGGAATTAAAACTGGAATCAATGAGTTCTATTGCATTTGAAAATCAGGTGACAAACTTCTTTTGTGTTCATTTAAAAAAGGAAGAGGGGACATAAACAGACTTCAGAGAAACTTCAGAATGTCTCCAAACAGGGAAAGCAGCTCAAAATCCAAAAGGAAGAACATATTTACCATGAGAATTTTAAGAACAGTAAGACTGAGTTTATGGGGAGGAAATGAGAGATCAGAATAAGAATTTGGAGTCAGGCCCGCTGGGCCTTTCTGTGTCATATACTTGAAAAGCATTTTGCCCTCATTTTTGCCTCTGATTAGAAATGGAAAAGAGCCTTGATTCACATATACAAATTAGCTTTTTTTAAAAAAAAAAAAATTTTTTTTTTTTTTAAATTTCCAGCCCAATTTCTTCTAAGTGTGAATCTCTCACTCTGGATTAAAAGGGATGAAATAATACAATTTAAACAAACTCCCTACTAGAAAATTTAACAACATACTTACCACCTCTTTTTTCCTACTAGAAAATTAATCATTTCAGAAAGAGACTTAGATGATAAAGGTGGCCTGTGTCAATCTAAGCTTTACTCTTTAGCTAATTTCCCTCTACGACTAAATTATTTTTTCTCTAATATTCTTTGCTCTTGTTAGTAGTATAGTTTTAAATACATGAAAGAGCCTATGATGCTAGTAAAACACCCCAGAACTTTTTTGAGGGCAGTTCTGTCAGTAGCCTGCAACATAGCAATGAGTTAAAACTCTCATCAAAAGCTTCTGTTTAGGATAAAGTGGTGAACTTTCCCATGCAAAGAACTGTCACAGCATTTCCCAGGGTTGTTGTCCTTGCTCAACATTCAGCTCTTTCATGACATGCCTCCAAATTACCTTTCCACCTTCACTTCTCCCCCCATACTAAATCTCTGGCCCCTTTGGTTGACTTGCAAACTTATAAACACAAAAAGAATTTTGACATCTCTGGGGCTTTGCTCTTTTTCTTCATTTGAAGCTGAAATTATAATGTCCTTCTTGGCATGGACCCCCTTCACCCATCTCAAGACACATGACTTCTTTTCCCAAAATGCATCCGTACTTACTCTCTGCTGCATTGCCATGCACTGTATGTACCTTCTCTTCTTCATCCATTTCTTAATTCAGCATACATGTATTGCTCTCCCATGTACCACACTGGAAATTAGGAGTATTCAGTAGGACAGAGTCACTTCCTTGGACTTCATGCTTACCACTTCTTTGTTCCTTGGTTTGGGGAATCAGTTGTCACCAATATGTCTGTTATATCTTGAAAAGTTCCCTATCAAGAAAAACCATTGCTCATGTATAAACCCTTTCTACCAATCCAGTTATCTTCCAGAATCAATCCAGTTATCATTCCAACAATGACCTTTGGGGCACATGAACGAACCTGCACTTTTTTTTTTAATTTTTGCAAGCTATACACCATTTATGCACTTCTAATGTGCTGAATTAGAAGCAAAAGGCATTGTAGAGCTCAAAATAATTTTAAAGATTATCTCCAATATTCTCATATGACAGAAAAATGGAAGCATGAGAAAATTAGGAAACTTTATCATAAGTCACAGGTTAAGTTACTGGTACAAACAAAACTAACATCAAAGTTTAGGTTTCCTTGCCATTCCCACTTAACTATCCCATAAATGGGTAGTTGGGTCATGAAGTATCACAGTAGTAATTAAATTACAAATTTATCATTCCTGTTTTAAATGTATTTGCATATTATTTCTGCTGCAAATGGCCAATTGTAGATATAAACATGACAAATTGCATTGAATTCAAAGGGGAGCCATCTCTCACATGGCCTGATAAAATTATCTGCATTCATTAGAGTGAAATTCTAGAATATTAAGTTGAAAAAAAAAAAGAATATAATATTGTAATCATGGCTATTTCAATGAGTGCAATTTAATGTAAAATAAACATAATAATTGTTCAGAACAACCACATACAAAAGTTTAAACACTTAAGTTTCTAAAAGACAAGATAGAGGTATATAAATATAGTCATTGATATTCTGAGGTGCCAGAGATACATTAAGCTATTTGTAGAAATAAAATATAAACAGTTAAGGAAAATTATTGGCACTGACTCATTGTGATACTTAGTACCTAGTGTGTTCTGAGTCACAGTACAATGTTGTAAAATAACATACTTTTTCTGGTTTACTGGCATGAGACTCCTAAAATCCTTGGAATCTCCAAAGTAGCAAATGCTTTTTTATGTGCTAGTGAGTTGACTGAAGTTAGCAGCCTGTAGGTGGCTTCAGTGTGGGGACAGGTCACTATGAAAATAGCATTGCATGATTAGAGACCAGGGATTTATATATTTATTTGTATAAATAAATTTATATAAATTTATATTTATTTATATATTTATTCATATATGGATATATATGTTCAAACCCTAACTCTAACCCTAAACCTATTTCTAAATTTAGTCCAATCTCTACTACTACCCCTAAATAGAAACCTCTTTATATATAAACCATAAATGGTCATATATTTTGAGATATACATTTAAAATTCACATAAAAATTCATATAAAAATTTATACATATACATATGTGTGTGTATATATATATGTGTGTGTGTGTGTGTGTGTATGTTTATATATGTTCTTTTCTACACCCATACCCTATCTTTAACACAAATCATAGCAATTCCCCTTAACATAAATTTATCCATGTATGAAACTTTGGGGAAGGTTGAGGGGTGAAGGTAAAGTTGGTCAGTGATGTAGCCAGCCATCCTAATGTAATAATGACCTCCATGAAAACCACAAAGAACAGGGATGAAAGAGTGTTCTTACAGCTGGATCTGTGGAGGTTCCTGGAGGGTGGCACACCCAGAGAGGGTATGGAAGTTCTTGCCCTTCCCACATACTTCTTAGTGTATCCTTTGCAATATTCTTTATAATAACTGGTAAATATAAGTGAAGTGTTTCCCTAAATTCTTTGAGCTGCTCTAGCAAATCAATCAAAATCCAAGAGTGGGTAAGAAGAATCTTGATATATAGCTTATTGTTCAGAAGTACCAATAATACAATCCGGAGATTGGCATAAGAAGCCAGGGACAGTCTTGTGTGACTGAGCCTTTAACCTGCAGGATCTGATGCTATCTTTAGGAAGATAATATCAGAATTGAATTGAATTAGACATCTGAGCCAATGTCGACTGCAGAGTACTTGCTTGGTGTATGGAGAAAGTCCCATCCCACACATTCAGTCACAGAAGTATTCTGTCATGGTTGTTGAGTAAGAGAAGCATTTTGGTTTGGTTTTCTTTGTATTCTCAGATACAGATAATCAGAGTGTGATTCCCTTCCACAGCCTTTTCTATTCTCTATGGGCCTGATGCTGCATTCTCTCCTTGGGAAAATGTCTTATTGATCATCCTCAGGGTTTGGTCTATGCAGGGAGACTAAATTAGGCCCCAGGAGTGTGAAATTGGTATATTCACAGTTCTTGTGTCTCACTGTGACTCCATTAAGTTGCCCCTTTAGAGTCTGGATGGAAGTCAATCTATGATTACATATAAACCATACTAGAGAGAGAGGAGTTACTGTATACATTGTTAAGAAATGGAGGCATACATGTTATAAAAAATATAATAATAATAATAATAATAATAATAAAGTAGAATTATGTTTCTAATTATTTTTATATAACTTAAATTACAGTCCTTTTATAATTCCATAGGTTTTACAAAATATTTTGCATTGTACATGATTTCATCTAATTTTCACAACCACACGAAATACATATTGCTATGCTCCTTTTGCCAGTGAGAAAATTTTTAAGCGCAAGAAAGTTGGATAATTCATTTGTGACCACAGAACCACTAAGAAGCCAGAAGTAAAACCTGGTCTCATGTCCTTAAATCCTGTGGTCTTCCTCAAAGATGACTCTGTCTATTTGCAAAAGGATTTGAAATAGACCTGTAGATTTTATACAAGACACTTTTAAAAAGAAAATAAGAAAACAAATTATAATTTGTAGTGGGTATTGCTAAAGAGAAAAAAGCTACTTTGATTAATACTCTGTGAGGTTAGCCACTGTTGTTTATAGGTCCCTGAGGGAACGTGTACCAATGTTTACTTTGGGAACACAAAATAAGTAGCCCAGGGTTTTGAGAAAACACTGCAAAGTTTAACCCTATAGATAGTTATTAGGAAAGTACAATTATCTTCTTTGGATGCAGCTGAATAGGTAGCCTGCCCAGCAACAAACAAGGATTACCTTTGACCTCATCTACTCATGTTTGTATTTATTGGACACCTACTGTGCTCCAGGCCCTCTTTTGGCTGTTGGGAACATATCCACCAACAGGACAGCTCTCTCTGCTTCTGGCCTCCCCCCTGACTTCTCACCACTCCAGTCTGTTCTCTACAGACTCCACAGAGACCCAGGACAACCTTCTAAAATGTACTTCTGACCATGTCCTGTCACGACCACCAAACTGTAGATTTTCAGAGATAAGAGATCACATTTGTTGGATTTGCCATTATATCTCAAGATCAGTCAAATCCCAACTCCATAACAGGTGCAAGGCTCTTCACAGTTTGTTCCCTGCCTCTCTTTGACCTCCGTCTCCCTTTTCTTGCCTTATACTGTTTTCTGCAGCCACATTGAACTCCTGCACATAGACTAAAGGGTGTACCAAGTTCCCTCTCCCCTTGGGCCTAAGAAATGCTGCTTCATTTGCTTTGAGGTTTCAGGCCATAGCCCTTCCCTTCCAGTTCTTTTTCTGGCAACTTTTAACATCCTTCTGCCTCAGTTCAGAACTCACCCCACTAGAAAATTCTCATAAGTGTCCCGGTAAACCAGTCCAGTGCTCTCCTGCTTCATTCTGCACTTATCTTTATCTTAACATATTGCCTGCTTACTTATCAAGGTGCCTCCTAAAACAGTAGATGGCACATATCAGATCTGCAGATGTTTTTTTAAATTACCGAAGTCTGTTTTTGTGCTGTTAGACAACCTGAGACTGGACAATCTATAAAGAATATAAATGTATTGGCTAACAGTTTTGGAGCAGGGAAGTGTTAGGTCAAAGTGCCAACATGTTTGGTGATTCTCATTCCAAGATGGCGCCTTGCATGCTGAGTCCTCCAGAGCGGGCAAGGCAAGGTGTTCACATAGCAGAAGGCAGAAGGGAGAGAGAAGGGGGATGAACTCACCCTTTTATAGTGGTATTTGTGCCACACATGAGGGGAATTAAATGAAAATTAAATTACAACATGAGTTTTGAAGGGAAAAAACATTCAAACCATGGCAGGATTATTTAATACATAAATAAATGATATGTGATACTGGACAGTTTGTCAGGAGTTTTGTTTTGTTTGCTTTGTCTTCCCTGAATCTATTACAGTGCATAGTTCATAGTGAGTATACATTGAATATTTTTCAATTTAAAATTTTTTTTTTTTACATTTTAGACCTTAAACTTTATTTTTTTGTTGTTTTTTAAATTTATTTCTCACATACATGACAATGATGGAGTGCATTACATTCATAATTATCCATTCACAGCACAATTTTTCGTAACTCTGTAAATAAAGTATGTTTACACCAAATTATGCTATTATATATGAGCTCTCTGTTTTTTGCATTAAAATTCTTAATACACCTTTATACCACAATTTATCATATCTCTGTTTGTATATAAGGTATGTTGACACCAATGACTAGGAGTTAAATGAATCTTACACACACACACACACACACACACATTCTTAGATATATTAGGATGATTATATGTTATATCAAGACCAAACAAGGGCACTCTTGCTTGGCTAATTGTCACTGTCCATAGGGTGTCCACTGAGGAAGCATTCTGCATATTCCCAAGTACTAAAGGGGTTATATTTACCAACTGTTCTCATCAGCAGATTGGCTGCCATAGTAATATGTTTAAACAAATCTGTGACTTGACTTTCCTGGTTAATGCCTTAAGTGCCCACCCTCCCCCAGGATAAAATATAACCTGTCTAGCATGATTTGCTCTGATAACTCTGCAATCACCTCTTTTTTTTTAAATCTTTTTTTTTATTGTTGGTTGTTCAAAACATTACATAGTTCTTGATATATCATCTTTCACACTTTGCTTCAAGTGGGTTATGAACTCCCATTTTTAGCCCATATACAGATTGCAGAATCACATCAATTACACATCCATTGATTTACATATTGTCATACTAGTGACTGTCGTGTTCTGCTACCTTTCCTATCCTCTACTATCCCCCCTCCCCTCCCCTCTTCTCTCTCTACCCCTTCTAC